CCGGGCCGCGCGTGACCCGCCGCAGTCACGCCGTTCTTAATCACTAGTAGCTGGTGCTCCAGGCTGGCGGCGCTCACCTTTCTCCTAGCCGGGTGACCCAGGGGATTTATTTTATGGTGGCTTTCTCTGAAATGCCAAAGCCACCCGATTATTCAGAGCTGAATGACTCTTTAACCCTTGCCGTGGGAACAGGAAGATTTTCGGGACCATTGTAAGTGCTTAGGAGTTACTGTCTTAACTTGGGGGCTTGACTTGTAGCACCCCGCGTTCACATCTGAAGCAGTACTGTAAAGCCGAAAGTGTTTCACCTGTCAAAGTGAAAAGTGCTGTGGGAAACTAGTTTAATTCCAGTTTCTGGAGGGCGGGTATTATGGACCTGTTTAAGTAGGATGCAGTGATTTATTCTGAGAGATTCCCGTTAAAAAGCAGAACTCAGTATATACTGAAATCAATGGTTATTTTGTTTTTGTTTTTTTATTGTAACTATTACACAAAACCTGTAAGTTTTACATTTCTTAATAGGCGTTTAATTATTTTAAATCTTAAGTGTGTTAGTGGGATGCTTTCGAATTTAATTTTATTTTTTTGAGACGGAGTCTCGCTCTGTCGTCCAGGCTGGAGTGCAGTGGCGCGATCTCGGCTCACTGTAAGCTCTGCCTCCCGGGTTCACGCCATTCTCCTGCCTCAGCCTCCCGAGTAGCTGGGACTACAGGCGCCCGCCACCACGCCCAGCTAATTTTTTGTATTTTTAGTAGAGACGGGTTTCACCATGTTAGCCAGGATGGTCTCAATCTCCTGACCTCGTGATTCGCCCGCCTTGGCCTCCCAAAGTGCTGGGATTACAGGCGTGAGCCACCGCGCCCGACCTCTTGGAGATAAAGCAAGTACATTTGGAGTAGTTGCGGTGACAGTACTACAAGACCCTAATTGTATTTTCTTTTTTAATTTGAAGGCACAGAGCATGGAGAATGATGAATTTCCGTCAGCGGATGGGATGGATTGGAGTGGGATTGTATCTGTTAGCAAGTGCGGCAGCATTTTACTATGTTTTTGAAATCAATGAGACTTACAATAGGCTGGCCTTGGAACACATTCAACAGCACCCTGAGGAGCCCCTTGAAGGAACCACATGGACACACTCCTTGAAAGCTCGATTACTCTCCTTGCCTTTTTGGTTGTGGACAATTATTTTTCTGGTACCTTACTTACAGATGTTTTTGTTCCTATACTCTTGTACAAGAGCTGATCCCAAAACAGTGGGCTACTGTATCATCCCTATATGCTTGGCAGTTATTTGCAATCGCCACCAGGCATTTGTCAAGGCTTCTAATCAGATCAGCAGACTACAACTGATTGACACATAAAATCAGTCACCGTTTTTTCCCTACGATTACAAAACTGCCAGTCCTATATGGAGTCTGATCACAAGACTGCAGTTTCTTCACAGATCTCAGGAAGTTGTGGTGGGGCAGAGGCTTTTTAAAAACATGTGATCAGGGGGCTATCTTTATCTGAATAATAATGAATTTTTAGGTAAAACCTGAGATAGAGTACTACAAAATCATGTTGATGACTTCAGATTTTGGAAGTTAAATCGTGTCTGTTATTTGCATTCTTTAGAAACTTGACTGAGTACCTGAATTCATATTTCTATTCTACTGTGCAACATAGTGATGATTCAGAAATTTTTCCTTTGGGGAAAAAAAATGAATATGAACATTTCCATTGTGTTAAGTGTAAAAAGGTCCAGACATGATCATAAAATTTAAATTTTATACAATTACTTGGCTTGCTTTAAATTCTTCACACTTAAAACACCGATTCATTCTATTGCAGCTAAGCCAGCTGTTTATACTTGCTGTCAGCTTATGAGGCATTGCTAAAAAAGTATTAAGGTGATGGCTGTCTTGATAAGCAGAATTTGTTCTTCCTCTTGGTAATGGCTAGCTAAATTATTATTAGTGCTTTTAATGGTTTTATTTTTTATATTTTTCTTTTTTGTGGAGAATGAGGTCTCGCCACGTTGCCCAGGCAGGTCTCGAACTCCTGGGCTCAAGCTTTCCTGCCCTCTAGCACTCCCTAAGTGCTAGGATTACTGGCGTGGCTCCCATGCCCAGCTATTTGTAATTAAAAAAAATTTTTTTTCCATGGCTTGTGACACAGTCTCAGGAGGCCCTGAGAACATGTGCCCCATTGCTACTAGTTTAGAAAACTATTTGGGAAGAGACTAAATGGTAAATGTTGACAGGCTAGAAATAACTTACAAATAGAAGATGGAAACAATGTGTTCAATGAAAATAAGCAGGTTATTAATTAATTAAAATTATTATTATTATTTTTTGAGACGGAGCCTTGCTCTGTCACCCAGGATGGAGTGCAGTGGTGCATTCTCGGCTCACTGAAACCTTTGGCTTACTGCAACCTCTACCTCCCCGGTTTAAGAGATTCTCTTGCCTCAGCCTCCTGAGTAGCTGGGATTACAGGTGACTGCCCCTACGCCTGGCTAATTTTTGTTATTTTAGTAGAGAGGGTTACAGCATGTTGGCCAGGCTGTTCTCAAACTCCTCACCCAAGGTAATCTGCCTGTGTCAGCCTCCCAAAGGCCTGGGATTACAGGCATGAGCCACCATGCCCAGCTGTATTTTATTTATCTATTTATTTATTTATTTATTTATTTATTTTGAGACGGAGTCTCGCTCTGTCACCCAGGCTGGTGTACAGTAGTGCGATCTCAGCTCACTGCAACCTCCGCCTCCCAGGTTCACACTATTCTCCTGCCTCAGCCTCCCAAGTAGCTGGGATTACAGGCACCTGCCACCATGCCCGGCTAATTTTTGTATTTTTTAGTAGAGATGGGGTTTCACCATGTTGGCCAGGCTGGTCTCGAACTCCTGACCTCAAGTGATCCGTCTCAGCCTCCCAAAGTACTAGGATAACAGGCGTGAGCCACCACGCCCAGCCTGTAACAGGTAATTTAGTCCAGTCCTTATCAGATGCATGAGACCCCTCTAAAAGATGCTATCAAGTCATAATCTTTCTGATTTTCTTTTCTGGCCCAAGGTCAGGTCGTCAGGCAGTAGGTTAATTACATGAAGATGTGATCCTTGTATACCTTCTCCTTTGCATTTGTACTACCTCACATCTGGTACTAATACAAATAACTAAAACATGGACACAGTAGAATGTCTTCTTTTCTGTGTGAGATCAAGATATATTTTTATACAGTTATGTCATTAATACTGGAAAACATTTTATGCTTTTAATAATAATCTTAACACTTTTTGGTGCTGATTCTATTGAACCCTATTCTAAGAGCTTTATGGAAATTAACTCATGTTAACTCTGAACAACCCTATAAGATGGCTACTATTATCTAGATTTCACAGATAAGGAAACTGAGGCAGAGAAGGCAAGTAACTTGCCAAAGGTCACAGCGAGTAGCAGAGCCAGGGTTATAACCAGGTATTCTCATGCCTTCGTTACTAACCACAGAGGCATAGTGCTTCTCACAAATGACAAATGTTTTAAGCACTGGGTACTGTTTGCCCAGTCATGTCAAAGAATGGAAATGGCAATATTATTGACAAGTTCTTCTCCATTTGTCTACTAGAAATCTGAAAGTTTCCTAGCAACCTCATCTTTTCACTACTTCTGACTGAAGCAGAAAGGAAGGCTGAGTATTTCATAGCAAGCTTTTACTTAAAAGATAAAGCAGGTACCTTTGTCATGCAAAAGTAGCAGATCAGATCTTTCAGATAAATTAGTCTCATTTATCTTACTGCCTCCAAAGGTCTAGTTACTGAAATGATATATCTTTTGATACAGTACATGGAATCCTCAAAGTAAGCAGCAGTTTGAAATACCTGTTTCTGTGAGGTTCAGATGACCAAATCACTTGCATCTTTTAAGTCTTCAGTATGCATGTTACAGGCATTGTTTATGAGTGATTTACATTTATTCTTCACAACAGTCTTGGGAGGCAGGTATTATACTGCTACTAGTATCCTTTTACAGAGGAAGAAATCTGAAACACATACGAATAACTGGTACATAGTCATACAGCCAGTAAGTGAAAGAGCCAAGATTTGAACCCAGGATGTCAGCTTCAGATCTCCAGCTTTCTTATCATTCTATACTGCTTCTCAAAAAAGAGAGTAATCTGAGGTAAATCATCGAGAGTTTTCAGTTTTATTAGTCTTGAGGCAGTGATTTAAGACAATTATTTCAGTTTTGTTTTATAAATGCTTTATGTAGGCTGGTCGTGGTGGCTCACATCTGTAATCCCAGCACTTTGGGAGGCAGAGGTGGGAGGATAGCCTGAGCCCAGGAGTTCATGACCAGCCTGGGCAACATGGCAAGACCCCATTTGTATTAAAAAGGATGGCTCATGCTACTCCCAGCACTTTGGGAGTCCGAGGCGGGCAGATCATTTGAGGCCAGGAATTCAAGACCAGCCTGGACAACATGGCATAACCCTGTCTCTACTAAAAATACAAAAATCAGCCAGGGCTGGTTGTGCATGCCTGTAATCCCAGCTGCTTGGGAGGCTGAGGGAGGAGAATCGCTTGAACCCGGGAGAGAGAAGTTGCAGTGAGCCAAGATCACGCCACTGCACTCCAGCCTGGGCCACAAGAACAAGACTTATCTCAAAAAAAAAAAAAAACTTTCATGTAATGCAAGGTTTGTGAGGTTGCCACTGGTATTGCAAAGTAGTAATTCCTTTTGAATGAAGTAGATCCATCTCTCTTGATACTTCAAATTCTAGTATTTTGGGATTTGGTAAGAAAATGTTCAGTCCATCTCTGTCTTTCAAGATTATATTGCCTTTTGCCTTGATAGTAGAAATATTAAAATAGAGTAGGATTAATGTAGTAAACTTAGTGTTTCCAAATGTAATTACTACATTTCAGATTGCAGGTTTAATCTGCTTTTTGATTATTTAGGAGCTATTTATCCAAGTTGTGGGTTATTTCTAGTTTGTGGCTATTTAATAGTTCAAAGCATTTTTTAGGTAAGGTAAAGAGGGAAAAGTGAAATATATTTTTTAATCTGTTAGCTCTTGGATAGAGGAAGAAGTTGAAATTGATGGCTAGGGAATAATTAAAAAATTAGCCTGGCGGCTGGGCACAGTGGGTCACGCCTGTAATCCCAGCACTTTGGGAGGCCGAGGTGGGTGGATCACAAGGTCAGGAGTTTGAGACTAGCCTGGCCAACATGGGTGAAACCCTGACTCTACTGAAAAATACAAAAATTAGCTGAGCATGGAGGCGTTTGCCTGTAATCCCAGCTACTCGGGAGGCTGAGGCAGGATAATTACTTGAATCCAGGAGGCGGAGGTTGCAGTGAGCTGATATGGTGCCATTGCACTCCAGCCTGGGTGACAGGGCAAGACTCTGTCTC